TCAGGAGGGGACGATGCAAAGCAAAGGAAGTCTATGTTTTACCTCGTGGGGTGCAGGGTTGCTGTTGGTGGGTTGTTGCTGATAGTGCTGGAGGGCTGAGACTGTGGACATTAAAATCTCCAAAGGAGAGCTGGTAGCTGATTAAACAAGTGTTATGGGATAATAATAAAATGCAAAGATCTGTGACATGTGGCTTGGAACCATGAGGCAACAGATTAAAAAAAAGTGGGAAATAAACCAGGCTCTTCCTGTGACTTACTCTCTTCCTCCTTCACTATCCTCATCTCATCTACCGCTGTCCGTTTGCCATCTGAGAACAAAGCACAATTTGTTAGTGCATTAATCTGTTATTTTATTATCCACACTTAACAACTCTGCACCATTAATCCACAATAAAGTAATGATAGAAAATGTTATAGAACCAAAACATTGTAGTTGTGTTTATTATTGTTTTTCTACTTGAACACCTCTGCAATGCAACAGCTGGTACATGTGTTATTGTTACCTGTGCTCTTTGTAATGCAGCTGGTGAGAGATCCACTGTTTCCTCCTCCTCTCCTTACAGGGCCGGTCTGACAGTGTTATATCATGAGTGATCATTTTAAAATATCTATACACATAAAACATGCACACCCACATGCATGTACAGTGACATATTATACCTTCTCCAGAATACTTTACATACTACAGCAACAGGTTTCGATCATGGTGCTGATCCGGAATCATTTCCTTGTTATTTATTTCCAGTGCTATAATAATAAAGTAATAATAAAGTAATAAGAGTTTTTTTTTTAAAAGTAATAAATATAAAATAATGTATTTATAATGATTCAGTTTGTTTGACTGTCCACTCGGTGCAAGGCTTTCTGCCTTATTAAATGCTTAAACTTTAAAGATAATAATTTTGCACTTGTCATATTTGAAATATAAATCTAATATAATCTGTTTCTTGATGTATTTTCTTTAAAATAGATGAAATCTCTTCTGCTTTTGCTTTTCCTTAGTGATGGTTTCTTAGCAGCTGTTTGACCATAAAGACCTGATTCACACAGTCTGCTCTGAACAGTTGATGTAGAGATGTGTCTGCTACTGGAACTCTGTGTGGCATTGATCTGGGGTGCTGTTTTGTGATTTCTGAGGCTGGTGTCTTGGATGAATTTATCCTCAGCAGCAGAGGTGACTCTTGGTCTTCCTCTTCAGGGGCGGTCCTCATGTGAGCCAGTTTTGTTGTAGCGCTTGGTGGTTGTTACGACTGCAGTTGGAGACACATTCAAAGGTTTAGCAATTTTCCAGACTGACTGACCTTCAGTTCTTAAAGTAATGATGGACTGTCGTTTATCTTTACTTAACTGATTGGTTCTTGCCATAAAATGATTTCTAATAGCTGTCAAATAGGGCTGTCAGCTGTGCAAACAGACATCTGTACAACACAACTGATAGTCCCAACCCCATTAAGAAGAATTATATAAATATAATTGTAAATATTTTGTACAATATAAAAGAAAAAAGAGACCCAGGACTGTTGAGCAGGTAGAATTTATATGAGACAAGAAAGAGACAAGTTTCCTCTCCCAAAAGTGCAACAACACCTTATTTCCCAGACATTTGATTGAGTGTTGTTAAAAGAATCCAGGATGGTATACAATGGTAAATACGGCCCTGGTGGCCCTGATCCATCCATCCATTTTCCTCCTCTTATGCAATTCACAGTCACTTCAGACTGTAAGACCACACTGACCAACCCATGCAACACCTGGACTGGCTACAAGAAAGCCCTCAATCCCTCATATAGGAATCCTGGAATGCTTAGAACTATAGAAGACAAACAGGACCGAAAGAGTCTTCATCAGGAATTTGATGGGAATGTGGTCAACGACAAAAGAGAAATTGAGGGGATTGTACTGCCAGAAGTCCCGAGGAGTCAGGACTTGCCTTTTACCTCTCTCCCTTTACCCCCAACCAGTTGAAACAGATGACTGATACTACCTGAGCCGGATTTTACAGAAGGTTTCTTCCTGTTAAAAAAGGCTTTTCCTTACCACAAACATGTGATCATTGGGGGGCGTCTGATTTTTGTTATTTTCTCTCTATCATTGCAGGGTCTTTACCTTATAATATAAAGTGCGACTTGCACTATAGAAATAAACTTGAATTGAAATGACATGTATATGGGAGGTGTACTTTGTATTGCAGAATTAAAAGTAAACATGGTGATATTTTGTGCTCAGTGTTTTTTATTATCTCAATTTAAAACACAAACAAGAAAAATCTTGAAAATAAATCTTTTTCATTTTTTTTAAACTGTTAATAACAAAGGATTTTTGTCATTTACTTTCAGAATGTTCAGTTTGACATTTTTGATAAATAGGGAAACCATTGTTTCATAAGAGGGTGGTGTGTGTCAAAAAAAAGACTTTCATGAGGTTTCCCAGCAGAACGTTGCAGTTCACAGAAACCGTCAATTTAATGCACGTCAGAAGCGCTTTTTATTGTGACTTATTGACGTGGCCTAAAAAGAAACATGCTGTAAAATCTTCCACAATGAAAACAAGGCACAGTTTTCGACGTGGTGACGAACACCACCACAATCACTTGGGGGCGCTAGAGTTCAGAGAACAAGCATGCTGCATTTACGGACGTCAGACTTTCAAAACTTTATTGTGACTTGTTCTTTTATCGGCCACAGATAAAGATAAAAGACGAATCTTAATAAATGACGGTGTAATAAAATGACATACTGATACAAATTTTTGTCTTGGAAAAACGATTTTACGTTAATAGGCTTTTACATGTCACACTTAGCATTATCAGCATGTGTGTACACAATCAAGCAATGCGACTTTTGTTAGAGCAGTTTCACGCAATAGCTTGTGCATTAGTGACACTTATAGTCACTAACTATATAACTACTACTGCTTTAATATAAAGTTTTATTAACTATGGCAGAAAAAAGCTACGCTTTGGCTACACAGCAGATGAATTTAGACGTGTGAGTGTGGTTTCCCACGCAGTTTAAAGGCAGCACCGTCGGGCCCACGGGGGAGGAGGCGATTAGAAGATTTCTACGGAACTGCCGTTGGGTCAAACCACTGTTAAACCCTTCGCGATCATTCTTGTCGACAGACATTCTTGCCATGTCTAGATAATGGTGAGAGTCGGACCACTACTGAACGCTAAGTGATAAAAAGCTGCTGCGCTTTTCGATCGCTGTTAAATTCGTCCATGATCGGCAGCGGGGGAC